AATTGCACGTTTGTTCTGATTTAGCAAAATATGATAATAATTAAAAATTTATTCATCAACCCAACCTCGTATCGCGTTAAAAGTATAATCGCGTCAATCAATTTTTCACGATGCTCCATTTTAATATATTTTCAAATGTAAGAATGTATTATGTATTTCTCTCGAGAATCTCATTTTCTAGGCGGCCGTCGTAATAGTTTTTATTAAGGAAACGCAATTATGCGCTTCACAAGGAACGGCTTTTAGTAGAAATGAGGTAGCGCACTTTTGGACCGTGGCTTTCACATCGTAGTCGACGCGACGGGGTGCACGCGTGCATACTAGAAGAAGGTCCTCATCTATCCACCGAAAGAAAAAGAGAGAGCAAGAGAGAGAAAGAAGGGGGGGGAGGCGAGAAGGGAGAGAAAGAGAACGCCGTGCATTATCACGCGGTTTCTGCTTTACGAGACTTTCTTTGCACCGATCACGGCGCGGTCTCCAATTAACGCTTTCCGCGGCGTTCAAAAGACCCGACGAAGTAGTAGTGAAAATGAATTAAAGCGCGCCCGTTTGCTATCTTTTACAACGTTTACAGACACCAATATGTACGTTGGCAGTCGCTGACAGTTCCGCGCGGTCGCCGTTCTCTATCCGGTCTATAACGCAATGCCGCAGTGAAGTGTCGAAGTGCAAAAATTTACGAACGTGAAGCACGTACCGGGCTTCTCATTTCACCCGTATACCTGAACGTTATGACACATTTCAACAAGACATTCGATACACCGCAGAAACTCGTGCGGGAGACATAAAACGTGGTTATTCGAATCCTTTCGAAGTGGAGCCTTGCGATGGGTATCATCGCGACCATACGCGTAGCGGGCGGAATAGCGAGCCCTTCGAGAAAGGATGGGGATATATATCGGATTTAGTTTTTCGCCGGCGAATCGATCAGCTTGAACCCATCTGACCTCGCGAGGACGTAAAGGGTTGAAGGTAGTGGGGGAAGCCGCGGTACGAAGGGGGCGGTGGAGCATAAGTCTGAAAATAAGAAGATATAGATAAAAGAGCTGGGGCTGTGCACGTTGGCCTAACAAGACTCAGGACTCAGGGGCTATTATCATAATTGTGGGCTGCAGGCAGCGGCTGTGCCCACAAACCAGAATGCCTCTTGTCTCATCTACCTTCGTTCTCCCTTCTTCTTCTTCTTCTTCTTCTTCTCCTTTATCTCCTCCTCCTCCTCCTCCTCCTCCTCCTCCTCCTTTTCCTTCTTCGTGTTCGTCTTACCGTTCTTCTTTTTCCGCGCACATTTCTCTTCTTCTTTGCGGCTTTTTACTTAAACCTTCGGTCTCTCGCATTTCGCGCGTCCCTTACTGGCCTTTCACACGCGCTAAAGACAAATGGAACGACCTCCATGTTCACTCCTCCGTTTCCATATTTCTAAATTAAGAAGACGAAGATTAATCCATTCGATGCGAAGATATAATAAAGAAACGTGAAATAATTCGCTTGAAGCAATATCTACGTTACAATTAATAAAAAAATGTATGTCTTCTTTTAAAACTACTGTAGATAATATTTTCTAAATATGATCGAGATTGAGTTTTTATACAACGTGGTTTTAAAACGATGCGAGTAACTCAACATAGTGTTGATAAGAAATATGAATAACTGTTTAAATTAATTATATGGCATGCATTACTTAGGTGAAATTACTTAGGTTGGATGCCTTCCGAACGTTCGTTATTAAATTCAACTATGTATGTGGATCCTTCGACATGGACCACCCTGAGGTGAAACACAAACAACCCGTTTCTTCTCGCTCTTCAAAAAGAAATCATGTGGAACGTGCAGTTTTTTTTATCTTGATATTTATCTTGATATTCTTGATTTATCTTGATTTTTATCTTGACAGAATATAAGGCATTTCTGTGAAGAAATGAACATACTTCCTTTTTAAACAAAATTTAGTACTTTTTTGTGTTTCTACTTATTATATCATTATATGATGTAATAGTAAGGTATATCACAACTTAATATACATTGAAGTTTTTTTTCATGCACTATGTATAATGACAGCTTTACAAAACATCTTTCAGTTCTTTGTTGCATAATGGAGACCAATTAATTTCTATTCACTCCAATTACTGAAGAGCGTCTCCATTTCTATTTCATTTCTGTTACTTAAATTATCTGAATTCGTATAAAAAGATTTATAATTAGTGTAATTAAATTGAAATATAAAAGACTTGTTATTATAATGAAATTGGATTTTATTACTTGATATAAATTCAAGATAAACTTCTTTAGATATCCGATTTTTTCTTGGCAAATTACTAAATATAATTAAATGTATTTTATCAATTTTAATCTTGATTAAAGTTATTATTTTTTTTTGTATCAATTAAGGATTCTCAAGTAAAAATATATATTATGTCTTTATGTAATCCTTCTATTCGTTGTCTTCTTAAATGCAATTGTGCTACGACACAATGTTCGTCTCAATTCCTCGCGCGCATGCGCCTCGAGAATTCTGGTCTCCTTTTCAAAGCGGAGACGAGAAGTCAGAAGCGACCAGGCGGCAGGTGCGCGATAGAATATCTGTTTTCCTTTAAATTATGCGAAATAAGCAAATACACTTCATCGTCAAATTGTTGCACGGTGTGTCGAAAGAGCATTTTTTTCTCATTTGTTTCCCGTGCACTCTTTCAGCGAGAGATGCCAGGGGCGTGTATGTTTGTTTAGCCTCGGTGTACCCTGTTATTAGGGATCGCTGCCCGTGCCCCCCTCCCCCCCTCGCCCTCCGAAAACCGTGAGGCCCATGCCGAGATTTGGCCGCCGTGAGCCCGATCGTGCATCCCCCTTTCCGCCCTCCGTCTCATCGCTCCCAATTCTTCTTGCTTCATTTCATGCGTAAAAGAAGTTCTCGAGCGGAGAAGAACGATGAGATAAATTCGGAAGGGGGTCCCTTAGCTTCTAGCAGATTCTTTGCCTTTAGATCTTGATTTAGATTCCACCGCGTTTTAATTTATTACAAGCGATGGCGACGATTATACACGGAAACGACTATTCGGCTTGGAGGAATACGCCAATTCTTTATCCATGCGAGTAAAAAGAGAGAAAATAATATAACTAAAGGAATGAAAAGCAAAGCTCGTAAAACAGAGTATCAGAGAGAAGATTTAGACATTTAAGTGCATTTATTAAAATATTAAAAGAATAAAATATTTCCTCGAATTTTTTTACTTCAGCTCCATCCCATGTATAATTCTCGATAAGCTATTGCTACTTCTTGGAATGTTTAATTTTAAACTTCAATTCTATACTTATTCTATACTTATTCAATGTTCAATATTAGCATACGTTAAATTGTGCCGTCTGATTATCTAATCTTGTTTTTTTCCGCATATTCTGTGTCGTGTCGTTAACGTTATATTTGTTCCAGAATTTAGAATTCGCGGACATATTGAAATGAAAAAGAGATCCATATGTTTTGCCGTTTTTGCTTTGGATGATTCGTGGGATCGCGCGTCTCCTCTGTCTCTCGTTGCACAATGCATCTCTGATGACATATCCTGCAGGTCCGCAATTGAATAGTGTGTTCTGTTTTGCGCGGATGGCACGTGACAATGCCCGAACGCCCGTCTCGCACGCGACCACACCCGTTATTTGTTTAATTTAAGGGTATTGTTGCGCGCGATGTTTTCGTCGGTTGCCGCTCGATTTATTTCGGCCACGGTCATTTCCCGCATTTTTAACGTGGGAGAACACCGCCGGCCGGCTGTCGTTTCATCTCGATTCATCGTCCGCAACCGCGAAATTGTGCGACTCGACGATACGACGTTCGTCGCGATCGATTATTTATACCCGGAACTTTTATCCGTCCCATTAATGAAACTTTTCACATGACTCCCCATTTATTAGCGCCCCTTCCCGACGATAAATAAACGTTGTACGAGCCATCGCGGTATGTATTATGCATGCAATATTACAAAACGGATGCTCGCTCATGCGTAAATTATCGTTATGCGGATAACTTAATGGTTGGCTAATATTTCTCGTTTTTGCATAATTGGATTTTCATAACTGGTTCATGAGAAGGTATTTTTTTACCGGCCGATTACGACTACGGAGCTTCCGACTCTTCCGACATACGTCGCGCGATCTTACAATGGAGATTGGTACTCGTTGCTGGAACTTCACCTAAGATGCCTAAGACTCTTGCAGTCTTACAAGATAAGATTCCGTGTTTAGCAAATGGGCCCGACGGGCCCAGTGATAATCGAAGAATGCTACATGACCAATCGTCGTTATATATATATAAAAAATACAATTATTAACTTATTTAACTTTTATTTAACTTTGACAATCTATCAAAATATCTTCGTGGCCAATCTTGGCATAGCGAAAAAAGGCAATAATTAAATTAGCGCAACAATATTCATATATGCCATTTTAAAGATTGGAACTTTTAAATATCTAGAAAGATAGATATAGAACAATGAATTATTATAAAATATTATATCGAATATATAATAAATGTGATAGGATATTATTCGATCTGAGAATAGTTATTATTTATTCACAGATTTTATAACAATTTTATAAAAATTAACACAAATTAACGCTTTGTGTCAGTTTTAATCATAATATTGCCAACAAATAAATAAATAAGAATATATATAACAAATTAATCAGTTTAACATAAAGTATATATAAAAAACGCATAAAAAATATAAACATAAATAGTTGTAAATATTACAATATAAATGTAGATATACATATGAATATTATAAATATTATATTTTAATATTTTGACCGCAAGATTGCTATTACCTTGACATTATCATCATCTTCAACACAAAATTATAAAATTTATTTATTAACGAAATAATTATATTCAAATCTGTATAGGATTTTCTGTAATATTCTATACTCTATACTAAGGTTTTATATTAAATAATGTATATTTACACTTTAAAATTATTCTTTTATTTTTCATTTTTTTTTATTCATCATATGACAAACAGACAAAACAGTTCGTAAAAACTAACTTGTATTTCGTAGCCACAATGTTACGAATACAATTATATATGCATAATTATGATCATTATGCATTGATAATAACGCTTTCTATTGTAATAGAATTTAGAATCTCCTTAAATTAAATTTTTAATGATTTAAGTTAGATTAGGATTTAAGTTCAATTTTATTGTCATAAAACATTATGTTCAATTTTCATATTGCATTAAACATCACAGTCGAGAAAAGAAACAGAGACAGATAGCGAACTATAACTCTTTATAAATATTACCACTACTAATTATTTTAACTTTGAATACAAAATAAATATTCACATTAATTATATTAATTCAACACACTCGTGATAGTTATACAATCATAATGCTAGCATAATTGTGAACAAAACCAGCATCTTTGTGCACTGATGATAAATATCCGTATTAATAAATATCCGTATAATATTCTAATCCGTAATTCAAGGAATGCACAAAATTGCGTCGCAAAAAATATATTTTCACTGAACATGTAGAAATCCATAGATCGCTCTTAATTCGAAGCCGGACAATTTTTCTGATCTGTTCGAATAAAATACGCTCTGCTGATGTTGTTCTTATCAATAACTTGGTAAGCTTTTTCTAAAACTGCGATCGGCGGTTTTGGCTCTCGTGTCAAAATCCAAACGTTTCGTACGCTGCAAGCAGAATGCACCGTAATTTTAACAACATATAACAACATAAAACTATTTAGTGTTTTAGTATAATAATTTTGGAATATTTCTTTTCATGATATTTTCCAAAGATAAAAAAATAAGCTTTCCGATACGATTTTAAAACATGGAATACAATGGAAAACTTCACAAAAAATTAAAATTTATTTTAAAAAAATGTAAAGTTGATATTATGATAATGATAAGAAGTACAGAAAAAGGTAATTGGAATTAGTTTTTCATCATGCAAAAAATTTAAACTTACGCCACGTTAAAAAGCCTAATGTTTATACATATTATATATATTATATATTTTTTTGCGTTCTTTTGATACGCAAACTTACTTGAGAACTCCGAGATTCGTACAGCTCCATACCACGGCGTAGGATTTATAGTCCGAATCCAGAACCCAGTAAGGTGCATCGAATTGCAATGGCAATGATGGGAAGGTAACCGTCAATTTAGGATCATCGGATCTGTCAATTAACCTTCCAACGCCCTCGATACTCGTTGCAACTCCAGTTCTACGCAAGAGAACAACACGTTATTTCAAACAAATAATTGTCAACGATGATATCATTCTACATTATACCGCTACCTCTCTCACTATTTAATGATTTAAAATTACTTTACAAGTCATGTGTCATTGTGTGTACTCACAATGAAGAGATTTGCTTATTTATGATTTTCACAGAGTCATTTTCGTTCAGACTGTAATTAGCTGTCACGCATTTTCCACCAAATTCAAACCAGGCAAAGTACCTCTCAACCTCGTACCATTTACCTAAATACTGAAAAGAAGATTTTACATTTTGCATAATGACTTAAAAATTACTTTTATATAATTATATATACATTACATCTTTCGAATTATTCACACGAATAATTATCTCTATACTCACTCTTTCAAGTTCGAAATTTGGCATCGCTTCCAAATTCGGACACGTTCCCAAAAATGGTACCTGAGCCAATGTGGCATTTGCAATAATAAGGATTACAAATATCCGGAACATATTTTTCTCTGAAAAAATACATAAAATATTTATACCAATTTCTTTTAGACAAATTTTCGAGTTTTGTAAAACACGCAGTTTTGGTATGCTATCGGATTTTGTATGCAAAATAAAGATCGATTATTTACAAATTATTTTATCGCAACAAAACGCATGCAAATGTTAATTCAGACGGCAATATTCGGAGAAATCACATCTAATCGTACATAGATGAAATCTTGTACAAATCTTGTCGAAAAATCGATTACAATGCAAAAACATCATTGTAGAATTTCGCTATTATTTTTTCTGAATTATCCTGAATTCATTTAATAACAAGAGTAATATAAATTTTATTTAAAAAAAAATTCTGTCATATTGAAATATTGAAGAATGCCTACGCGCACGCTGGGTAAGTCAATAATCATAAATAATTCTTCCGCTAGATAGTCACCGTTATGATAACGTGTTATTGTAACGATGTACCGCTTAAAGAGTATATTTCACGAACCAATTGACTTCGGCACTTCGAGAATATTCCTTTGCACTCCTTTCGTGTTTTCAAAGTACACACAGTACTCGCGTAACTTTGAAACGCATAAGGAAATGAAGAGAAATGGGCGTGCGCTCTTTTATATCGCGTTATCGCGTATACGCGTTTCTAAATTGATGATATCACGATGCAACACTGTTCCGCATGACATACTTCATAACGCATATGAATGCTTTTTACTCGTTGGACTAGTTTTTATCATTTGCGTTGTGTAATTCTGTGTTGATTTTGCTTTACGTTAACCATCACTCATAAGTACTAAGAATGAAGCAATATTTCATTTCAAGTATCTCGTCTCTTGTTTTCTTTTTTTACTACGCTAACAATTTGAAATACTATTGACATGTATATTTTTTTACGACGTGTGATCACATGATGGACTCACACGTGCGGGTTAAGCTGTTCTAAAGCAAAAATTCTATAGATGCGATTTATTTAAAGCTCGATCGCGACCTGATTTCTAATTCTCCCATCTCTTTAACTTACCGACGAGAGGTTATTTGCGCAAGTAGTAGTTCAGCGAGCAATTTATCGTTAGGAAATCCGATCAAAGTAGAAAGGACAGGAGAGAGAGACAGCCTGAATGCGGTATATCGGCATGCGATCTTGTTGTTCGATCTAAATACGGCACTCACCTGATAGCCTTGACCGTCGGAGTCGTATCCAGGAAAGAGGTACGCGTCAAATCGATCAATCGATAAAAAATATCAATTTTTGCGGGGCAAGAACTGACAAGGAGTTAGTGTCGATACTTCTCACACGACGGATCGTTCGTAGATGACTGCGCTTCCTGCTCCACGGTTCGCTTCTTCGCACTCTTCGAGGACGGACCGGCGGAGGTTGACTCTCTGCGTTTGGCAGAGAACTGACAGTTAGTGGGTCAGTAACGGTACGCACGGGGTTCAAGAAACCCGGCTCGAATTCGCCATTGACAAATAGACGATCGACAATTTCGAAGGCACGTGAATCATTTTACGTGATCGGACGCGATGGACCACTTTTGAAAATCGCTCGTTCGCCCTTGTGACGAATATCGCGAGAAAACGATAAATAGAAACTGAATTCATAGAAAACGCAGCACGCGCAACTGTTGTAAATCTGTGTTGAGATATCTGATGGTATCTGCGAAATAACAACCGCATGTTAATTTATTATAAAGTAAAATGACTTTTATTAAGTACGGAATACGCGTTGAATGTTGAATATTTCATTTGAATATCGTAGTTATGTTGTAACCAATTTCGTTTGTTTTTTTTTTATTTTAATTATTTATGGCAATTATTTATGAATTATTTTGATGATTATTTACGTGGATTTGTAAATTATATATTGATACACCATCGAGCGTCAAATTAGTTTTAATTAATTATATAAAGCTGTTAAACGAAAAATCTACAATACATTGAAGAAAAGTTGGTTTCTTGAAAAGATTAAGTTTTGAATAATATATCTCTTCTATTATATTTATACATGTTTTTTGAATATAGATATTTAAATTCTATTCTATATATCTTTTGCAAAAAAGATATTTGAACTTTATAATGCATTTGCATTTGCATTCAAAATAAATAATTAATTATTGATATTTTGTGTTATATAATCGATATAACACGTTAAATGTTTGTTTATATGTTAAACGATAATTTCAGATTATATTATTGTTATTGAAATTTGAGTTATTAATTATGCAAAAAATAAATCCGTTATATGACCGGTTTATATTTATGTTCATCATTTGAAAACACCATGACACATTTATCTTTTACTGGTGCCACATCGTGATGCGAAAGCTAAAAAGACTTTCCAAGAGTCGAAGAGACATTTTCTCTCATAACATAACTATTCGCGTGACTTATAAATTCAAAGTAAATTATTACAGATAAAAGAATTTCACACAAAAAAAAACCTTTGTTAGTGAAGTTGACGTTTCATTAATTATATATTCTTCTTCATTAATCAAATAATTATGCACATTAATTTACAAGTAAATTACGCTACGTATTCAATAATTTATTTCGTCCACAATTACATCCGCACAGTGATATGGAAATAAAAAATAAACAAATAAACATTTTATTAAGATATTTTTTATAACAATTTTATTTCTCTTTGTTTCTTTTATTTATTTTTTTTTTTTACTATTTGTACGTAAGCCTATAAAACAAAGCGCCGTGCTAACCCCATATCCTCGAGTCACAACGACGACGACGACGACGACGACGACGACGACGACGTGTCTACGGAACAATGATTAATGATTTTGCGGTACTTAAGCGAGACTGGTTCTAAGAAAACCGCTACGAGCCTAAGACGTCGAAAATCCCCATGAATATGTCCCTGCCAGCGTCAACTAACAGACTTTTTTTAAATTAAACGTTATTTCTAGGCAGTCGTTTTTGTCTCCTTTGGATTCTCGCTTTTCTCCTCCTTTGGATTTTCCGCGACATTCTCCTCCTTGACCTCAACGATGATCATTTTATCCCTGGTGTCGCCGCTCTCCCCCTTTATCGCCTCGGCTATCTTCAAAATCCGTTCGGGAACAGTGTCGACGGGCTGCTCGAGCTTCACGGATTCCTCCGCTATTATCTTCGGGATATCGGACGGCGCGTTCTCGCCCGTAATCCCAGCTTCTGCTTCCTCTTCCTTTATCTCGGTCTCGGCATCATTCAGCGAGATAGCTGATCTGCTTTCATTCGATTCGGCTGGTTTTTGTTTTCGCTTCTGCGCAGGGGCTGCAACGGGCTTCTCCGTGGCTTCCGCCTTCTCGGGCTCTTCCGTGGGCGGTGCGTCCAAGTAGGCGCATTCCGATTGATCGGTTTTCACGAAGAACGTTTTCGATATCTTGTATTTGTCAAGAACACCATAAGCCTGGAATCGGAATAAAAATTATTGCAAAATGAATATTTGATTTGAATAATTCCGTATGACTACCGCTACTCTCTTTTGAACTTGAAATTCGTTACTTTTTATTTTTTGTCTGATTGTCTCTTTCTTTCTTTCTCTGATTTTAATACTAATGTATGTAAAACTGATTAAAACTAACGTATGTAGGATGATTTGAAAATAGTAACGATGAAGATTTTAGAGCAGACATGTTATAGCATTGTTACACTGCATTAATAAATTTTAAAACGTAAAACGTGTTAATGTATTCATTTTGTGTATACACAATTTGTTTTATTAAGTTTATATACCTGTTGAAGCACCTTTCCAGACGGTATTCGCTCTCTCGTCATGACCCATGCATTCTGCGCGTGAACCGGACCGATACCTTGACAGCTCCATAAAACGGCGTACGAGTCATAATCCGTCTCAAGTACCGAGTACTTAGTCTCGGGCGTCAGTGGAATTGTAGTATATTTAACCTGAAGTTTACCCTCCTCGGCCTTGGAAGCCGGAGGCTTAATTTCGCCCTCTAGTATCCTCTTTATACCGGTGCTACATGCCAAAGATATTATTAATGAAGTTCTGTTATTTTCCAATACATTATGATGTATGCGATAAATCTTTTAAATTTTAAATTTTATATTTATTAAATAAGATAGACGCAACATGTGTACTTACAAACGATTGGTAACTTGATTAATTACACGATATTTGCCATCGCTCCCTCTCGTATAATTTGTCATGACGCATCGAGACACCACTTCGCTAAGTTGGAAATATCTTTCGGCTTCGTACCAAACACCCATAAACTGTAAAAAGGTCAAACATACGTTTTTCGTGCAATTAAATAAAGCTAAACTTTTTAATTAAGTAAAAATTCAATTAAATAGAAATATTTGACATGACCAAGTAATATAAATTTTTTAAGCAATATATAAGAGAAAATTTAATTTCTCTAATATTTGTTCAATAACCAAATAGATATATTACGATATAATTGAAGTATATTTTATAAATGTGCATGAAATATATGCTATAAATAAAAATAAATATACTATAAATAAAATCAGACAGAACGTAATAATGCAATAAAATTATTATATAACGCCCAAATTAATTATTAATGGAACGATTAAGTTACTTACCCTTTGCATGTTAAAGTTCGCCATGGGTATATATTCTGGACAAAAACCCAGATTAGGAATCTGGGCGCTGGCCCAGGCCAGGACCGAGAGTGTTAGGATGATTTTCGCGAACATGTCTGATGACGATCTGCCTCGAGCAGCGGTCGAGGCACCAACCTTTATATACATTAAGCAGGAGCGTTGACCGAAAGGTGCTTACCCCCTCTGTGTTACCCACGTGTTAGTACTCTTACGGTACTCTCCATGGCCCGAGACGCTGGTCTCGAGCAGAACAGTGGTCATTGGTCAATGATGCGCCTACGAATCTCTTGGCAAGTCCATCGGCGATGCGACCAAGAACCAGAAATGCAAGATCCATTATGCAACTTCAGGACGAACGGTACTTCCTGATTGGAGACGCTAACCCTTTCGAGAACCAGCGCTAGCGCCGAGGTCTACCAACTCCATGGAATGTCAATGATTTCTCAGATTAAACGCGAGGTGCGTATGTTAATGGATTAAAAAAATTCTGATTCTTTCTATCTGCGCCTTCTTGCGAATGGACGAACTTAAAGAAGCGGCAACGAATATTTATAGATCTCTTTCAAAAGTTTTATCGATACTAAAGATACTCACATTAATTATATAATAATTTCTTTCCCAAAATTTACATTACTTTACCTTTGACATATATTTGCGCGCGAAAATTCGATAAGACCTAACACAACAATTGAAATACGTGATAATGTTGATTACGAACAAAACAAACTTGCACGTGTCAAAATTATGCATGTTATTGTCGAATGCTTAAGAAGTTTCTATATATAATACATTTTTTTCTCTCTTTTTTCTCTTATTATTCTACGATTCATGATTCCACTTATACGATGCCAATTTATCGCGCATTTGTTACAACTGATTGCTTATACCACGCATGAATTACGATCAAACGTCTTCGAGCGTAGGATTATGAAAGGCAAATATGTGCCGCTCGCTTCCCGCAGTCGTCATTTCTAGCAGCCGATTCCAATAATCTGGACGTCACATAAACGCTTATTTACGTACGGCTGCAGAGCAGGTGCGATCAAATAGACCGATTCTTGTGGCGAGAACAAAACGAGGAGTGGACGTTTACTCGTGACGTAATTATGCAATCGACACCGTCGAGATTGGATGGTACGCGGCATCCTGCTGGAACGTAGCCCACTAGTAACGGGTCTCGCTGTGGTTTTTCTTTTTGTACAAAACCGAGAAATCTTCGGACCGTTAGGCGACGATGTCTCTTACGCCTCTCTTCGAGAATTCTTTGAGGATTCTGCGAACGGCAAACCGCTACGTGCCTTTTGCGAAAATGACAATTAATTTCTCGACTTCGAGCTCACCTTTTCGTTCGTTGCCGGCATAAGACGGCAGTTGGAAGATCGCATGGCAATGTATACTATTCTCGGAATAGTATTCAATAATAAATCGTACATTGTTTCCTTTCCCTGCAGGTGCTTTAAGGATAATTTTTCCTTCTCTTTTCTAATTCTATAAAAAATAAATAAAGAAATATAAGTTATCGAGAATTTTCGAAAACAGCAATTCGTGAAATAATTCAGAATAATTTATTTAATTTTCTTTTATTTATTGAAATAGTTAGATTTATTTATTAATGTTTAATTTTAAATGCAGTTGCAATTCTCCTACAAGTTTCTATCTATACATGTCTCATGATTGCGCATTTAGATAATATAACTTTTTAATAAATTACAACAGGTCTTAAAGGAATAGGAGAGGAAAATTGGTAATATGTATTAATTATTCGATTACGCTCACGTCTTTTCATCTTGTTGTACACAGTTTCCATCTGAATTTTAATTTATTTCTCATAAACCTATGAACACTAAGAAAGCATTCGGAGCTCGCGCCCCGCTTGGAAGATGCTTACGATCTACGATGTTTCATCCGGATGTCCAAATGAGGAAAAGAAGCTAACTTTGTAGAAATGACACAGGCTCGCGGAAGCGGTGTAAAAAAAAAATCGAAGAAAAACAACGTTCTTATCATTTTCACATGATTATGTCAATTATTACATTATCTTACATCCCTTAAATCTTCCCTTTACTGCACGAAATGCGCAATTCAAATTATCATTTAACTGCTATCTAATGATCGGAGAACTTATGAGAAAGTCTCTGCGTCAAGTCATCATGTCAGAAAAGTATCTGTCTTCTTCTGCGTCTCGGTTAACTCGGTCGATCGAGAGCGAAATTCGAGATCTTTGCCTTTCTTTCCTCCTCGGTGTGAAGACGATCTCGAGAGGGACATCCGGATGCGCGTGCGCGCTAAACATAATTAATTAACAGTAAAATAATCTGTAATGCGTAATCCTAGTGCGTTTACGGCTCGAGAAGAGGGAAACGACTGATGTTGGGAGTACGTGATAAGGGTGGGCGGAAGGGTAAAGGGAGAAAATGGTGATAAAAAGCTGATAGCTTAAATTATTATAGGCGACTCGCAAGATCATTCTTCGTCGGTATCCTCCTGCCTTCGCGATTGCAAGATTCTCTCCTGGTCACGCCGAGAGCCACGAGTCGCGCCCGTGCCATGAACGCCGCGGCGTCGCACGCTAAACAATAATTATTTTAGCTTTATTATCATTTAGTATCACATTACGTTCACTGTTTTGTGCTGGCCGTTTTTGCCTGGCTTCGCGAGAGCGCACACCACCCCTCCAACCTCTCTTTTCGCTCCGTTTCCG